AGATAAAGTAAGAAATGAGTAGAAGAGCTAAAATGACACAAATGCAAATGGCCCACAGATACATGAAAACATGTTCAACATCCTTTATAATCAGGGAAATGAAAGTCAAAACCACAATGAGTTACCACCTTACACCAGTAAGAATGGCACATATTAAAAACCTAGCAACAACAAATGTTGGTTAGGATGTGGAGAGAAAGGAATTCTTGTTCACTGCTGGTGGGAATGCAAACTGGTCCAACCGTTATGGAAAACTGAAAACTATGTGGAGGTTCCTCAGCCTGCTATAAATAGATCCAGCAATTCCACTCCTAGGAATCTTACCAAAGAACACAAAGCATTAATTCAAAAGGATACCCACACCCCTATTTTTACTGAAGAACTATTGATAATAGCTAAGATATGAAAACAATTCAAATGCTCAAAAATAGATGACTTAAGATATGTTATATATACACAATGGGATACTATTTAGAAATCAAAAAGTGATAAACTCATGCCATTCATAGCAACATGATTTGAGCTAGAAGGGATTATGTGAAATGTCAAAAGTAAAAAGAAAAAATATATATATTACATGGTTTCACTTATAGGAGGAATACAGGAGAACCAAATATGGTATCAGTGGAAAAAATAATAACAATAACAACAAAACAAGACAATGCAAAATTAATGGGTAACTATAAATCAGAGACATTCTGCAGGGGATGGGAAGGGAAGGGAGAGGGACCAAAATAGGGGAAGGAAGCACACAAAATATGGTGATGGTGCACTAGAGGAGAACTGGTAGTGGAAATTCTATGAGGACTACACCTGAGAGGAGAAAGCAAACTTGACCTAAAAAAAAATGAACAATAATGTAAAATATATAAAAATAAATATATTAAAAAAAAAACTGCCCACTTTCAAAAAAGCTTGCCCAGTACTAGTACAAATCCAGAAACAGGTCATATATTCACTAAAAAAATTGTGTACTGACAATTGAAATGATTGAATGTCAAGCATACGAAAGGAAAGAAACATTTAGGTCTATGAAGAACTTTCACAGATGTGTCACTAAGTAGATTATGCCATCAAGGACTATGGCTTCTGCACCCAAGACTTGTGCTTGGCTCCTAAAGTCTCTGTTCAGTATATGCTGATGCTAGTCCAGGATACTCACCTGACTGTACCCAAGGTTATTGTACAAACGTCCCACCTCATATCGTAGGCACTGAACTCTTGTACTAATGATGTATTTTGTAGTGTTTACAATGACTCCATCTACTTCATCCGTCTACTCTTGTATTCTCCCCATGCATATATGGGTTTGTGCTGTTGCCATTCTAATAGGGCCTGCTATGGGTGATCTGACTAAGGTCTGTAAAAAGTGGGAAGAGTAATTTCTATAACCCCTTATTCAAAGAGCGAAAAACATTATTTCCCAATGGTAGTTCAATAAAAATCTAGAAAAATACTCAAAGTAGTCACAGGAAAAGCTCCTAGTTCAATTCCACAATAGAACCCATCTGTCCATGTCAGCCATGGTAGCTAACTGGATAATGGGGATTGGGAAGTGAGCAGAGGGTATCCCTTGAAAAGAACAGCAGCACAATGTATTCATCTTAAAGGTCTATGCTTGGACACTGGCCATGACACAATTCACTGTGAATTTCTAAATGGTGAAGTCACTATGAACACACATGAGGGAACAGTTGCTAAAGGAAACAATGAGGTCCCATGAGTGTCCATTGGGAAGGGAGAACATCCATAGTCCTGGGCCCAGTAACATCTTCAACCTAGAAACTTGGGATTATTCTCTCTTCTCCCATCCCTGCTTCTTCTCTAATTCTCTCTCTCTCTCTCTCTCTCTCTCTCTCTCTCTCTCTCTCTCTCTCTCTATTTTTCATCCTTAATTCATTAATTTAAAGGAAGAAAAAAAAAAAAACAAAAACAAAGCCCACCATAATGGATGGTATGTACTGTTCCCAGATTGGAAAATACATGGACACTTGGAAGGAATGGGAAGTTTATATGATATGTAAAACTTTTATATAGGTAATTAAGAAAAAACACTTGAAAATATACTAACATATTAGTAAGAAAATAACTGGATTATAGAATTTCAAGAGATATTCTCCTTCCCTACTTTATAATTGTCTTTTCTTCACATTTTCTAATACTAGTGTGTACTTTATAGCCTGAAAGTCATTGTAAAAAACTCACTGGTTAGCTATACATAGATTTTAGTAATTGTTCTAATTGAACAAGTGACATCCTCTTTGATCCTAATAGCTCATATGTGCAGAATGATACAAATGTTTACTTAACTAACAGTGCTGCTTTAAGGATTAAATTGGAACAGTACAGTTAGCCTGTGAATTTTAGATGCTTAAAGTAGTATAGTAAATTATGGAGGAGTGAGGAGCATAGTCTCCACACAAGCATGTCCAATAGAAATAACATATTTTTGAGCCAGGGCCTCATATTTTCCAGCATATCAAATTTGCCTCACCTGCATTAGGCAGGTACTCTCTTAGGTTCAGTGCTATAGCAATAAACAAAGTGTTGGCTTGCCCTTGTGGGACCTACAATATAGATTTTCCATTATGGGTAAATCAAAGCTATTATCACCCCTCTTTTCCCTTAACTTAGTGCTTCCAGAGATACACTGGCTGCATCTTAGGCACAAAGGTAAACCTTCTGATCTACAGCAGTGCCTCTTAGAGTCCTTCTCCCTGCATGGATGTGTGCTGCTGAAAAAGTACCCAAGGTTTCTGCTAAAAACTGCTTTGTACAGGAATCAGACCATCATGGTAAGCCAGTGGAAATTCACAGAAAATGAGAACTAGGAAGACCTTGCCAAACTGTTCTTACTCATTCACGATATTTTATGTTACTGCCACTACATTTAGAAATATAGTAGATGGAATCTGGAAAGAAAGACTTACTTTCTTTACTTCAAAATACTCATTGCAATATATTTTAATATTTCTTTTCAGGAAGATTGGCACAGCACAAGATGCAGGGCATTCAAATATTGTTCATGGAATAAAGGAGTAAAATTAAAACTTTTAATACTTGATTATATTTATATACTGACAGAATATCCAGTAATAATTGCAGGCTTTTTTTTTTAATTGGTTTATTTTTACATCAATTTCAGACTCTTAAGGTAGTTATTATTAGCCCAAAAAAAGTGATAATTGAACTGAAGTTTCAGGCTTGTAGATTATGCACACTTCCCTGTACTAAAGAGCACAAGTTTGCAGTTAAAATATGTTGCATGACCATATAACTCCTTTTTGTCATACATACTGTGAATGAAAGTGGTTTATGACATTGATTTATGTCTGCAGGGGAGGAAATAAGATCTGAATTGGGGATCTTAATAGCAGTAACCGGCAGATCCATTCTTACCAGAAGATGTTTGCTTTACTATTGATAAGTGATAGTTCTGTCACCCCTGGCCTGTTATGCTCTATGGGCCACATGTAATTGGTGTGGGTAGGAATGGGGGAGGCTCCATGTCACTCCATTCCATTCTCCTTTCCTGAAAATTGAAAACTAGTTAATGGGTCATTGCATTTCTGTGAAGTTGGTAAGCTAGGAATTTCATTTATAATTATAATTATTATTAATATTTTAGCAATGTTAATACAATCAAGTTGATGACAAGCAAATCCTCTCACTGCTCTCTTCTGGGTGAGATTCTGCTTCTGATATACATTGCTATATATTTAATCTATGGCATTAAAATGTATCAATTAATTGTGAAATTCTGGAGGTTCTCCTTGGATCTTCTGCTAATATTCACCATGAAGGCTCATAAAAAGCTTGATAAACCTACATTATTTGGCTTTTGGGGTGAATATGCACTAACTGATTCCTATTTACCTCCTTGATAATTGCTGAAATAAATCTGTATTTTTTAAATCTGTAATAATTTGTAATAATCTGAAATAAAAATCTGTATTTTAGTCTTTCATGCATCTTGACCTCTCAAACTGAATTCTGCTATGGTCTTTCCTTTTTTTACTAATTGAGAGTAAATACCTAATGATAATTCTCTTCCACTGGTACAATATATACTCTTCCTAATGTGAATGAAAGTCAACTAGGAAACAGGAAATCATTCTCAAGAAACATTCACTCCTTTTTTCTCAGCTGGGTTTCTTTTCAGGTTTCACTTTCTACAGAAGAGCTTTTTTTGGTTGCCCTCATGTCTTTGGGAATTCTGTCCCTTGTCTTCTGCACTTGACTCACCCTTCCTGTGCAGTGACCCTTGATCACATGAAGGAGGCAGAGTCCCTCTCTCTCTTTCCCTGGCATAGAGACTTGACTACAGTGAACTGCAGACCTGCCTGTCCTGAGCCAGGCCTGATGGATACAAACAGACAGTGGGAGGCCAGCATGCTGAATGCAAAGAAGGCAGGAGAGCTTTCTACCTTCAGTTAGCTGGCATTTGACATATCTCAGCTCTGGCTCATCTTGGCACAGTCTGTATTTCCCTAGGCAAGACAAGGTGTGGTGGTGCTAAGAAACTAAGATTTTTCTCCCACACATATAAGTCCTTCCTCATCCCACAAAACAAAGCCTAGACAAATGAAAATGTTTCTTAGATATTTTCTCATAAACTTAACTTCCACACATAACCTAAATAGAATCCATTGTCAGTTAGTTTCAGTATTATAGGCATGCACACATGTGTATAAACAGTTGAACATTTGTTATAAATGAGCAAATAAGTAGGCAAATGATAGATGCATCCTCATGCATGCATAGATTGATATATGTAACAATCACAACTACCTATTTTATCTTATGTCAAAGCATGTTATCAACTGCTCAAACATTTCGAGTTATGGTATTGTATTCCTCTAATCTGGTTAAGGGAAATATGTGACATAGGAGTGCTTCAGTGACTTCCATCAGATACACTTGGGTGACAGGAAACTGAGACCCATAACCAAAGAGATTGTCTCATAGTGTGACCCAGAAGGAGCAAAATGTATCCTTACCCAAGTTGAGGTGCAGAGCTAGCCTCCCCTTCTGGAGCTCCAAAGTGATGTGATCACCACGTTGACCCTCTCCATGGAACAGGACTCCATCTCCTTGCATGCTCTTGAACTTCAGAGAGATAACATCTTTAAGAGTGCTCATCAGCTTCTGATTGAACCTGTACAGGAGGGAGCTCCGGCCATCAAAGTCAGCAATATCCGATTCTGGGCACAAAATAAGAGGGACAAAAATGTGAGGCCTTTCTCTTTAGTTGCTCTAGATCCCATCTTAGTTGTCCAGTTTATGGTCCCACCTCAAGAGGAACCACATAGAGTAGACCCAGTTTAGTTAGACTTGAGAGAATCATTCAATTACAAGTAATACCACCTACTGAGGCAAAGTGAACTGATCATAAGCCTCACAGCACAGCCTCTCTTTAGTGATATTTTTTGCCAGAGGGACAGGGTGAGTACACCAGCAATACTGCAGCAGGGCTCTACTGAGTCAAGTGCCTGGTTTTAATAATCTCTTAAGATTTAGCTTCCTTATTAATTTGTTTCTGATAGTTAAAGTTAATTGGTACCATTATTACAGCCTCAAGGTTAGAGACAAAGAATTAAGTTTATTATTTCAATTCTAATGCAATAGCATTGTCTTTCTAAAGCCTTTTGTTGGGAAGGATACTGATCTTTCTCCTGATTACCACAAAAAAAGAAAAGACAAAATAAAAAAAATACTCAAAGGAAGATTTATTGAACACAGAATGCACATTTATTGCATCTATATTACTCTTTTTTGTCTTTTCCTAATAGTAGGTATCATTTTGATGTTCAATGCATTAAAATGTTCATTTATTATTGGACAAAAGAAGGTAAAATAGCTATGATTCAGATAAACTAAAACAGTAGATGGATATTATCTATATGAAATATCTGAAAAAGTTACACTAAAAATTAATAGGGGGTTTTCACCTTACCGGCTAATATATCTAGACTGCAGCTAAGTACATAAAAAGATTCTTCAGATCACAGGTCATCAGGGAAAGTGGCAATGTACTACAGCACGCTTACTAGATTCATCTAAGTCCAGAAAACTCAACACCAAATGCTGGCCAGATGAGAAGCAACAAGATTTCTGTAGCAACTGGGGTAGAAATGTAAAATAGTAGCTACTTTGGAAGACAGTTTTGCTATTTATCTAAAACACTAAACATACTATATTATCTAGCAACCTCCATATCTAGCAACACACCATATTATCTAGAAATCTCCTTCCTTGATATTTACCCAGAGGAATTAGAAACTTATGTCCACTCCACATAAAAGTACTTATGGGTATATGTAGAAACTTTGTTCATAGTTTCTAAATCTTGAGTGCAATCAAGATGCCCTTCAGTAGGTGAATGGATTGTGGCATATCCAGACAATGACATACTACTCAGCACTAGAAGAAAAGAGCTATCAAGTCTTGAAAAGATGTGGAGGAAATTTCACTGCACATTACAAAGTGAAAGAAACCAATATGAAAAGCCTACATACAAATGATTCAAACTACATGATATTCTGGAAAAGACAAAATTATGAGGATACTAAACAGATCTGCAGTTGCCAGGAATTGGGGGTTGGGATGAATCTCACAGTATTTTTCTATTTTTATTTTAATTATACAAACTTATGCAATGCACTTTGTTACTTTCAAAATAGCAAGCATTTAAGGCTATTTAATTATAACAAAACAGATTCATCATATACCATCATATGTGGGTGGGATGGTGGCAAATGACTGTACAGAGGGGGTGGAATTAGTCTTATTAGAAATCAAGTACCCAGGAAAATTTGATTTCTTATTATTCACCAAGCAATTAAAATCCTCAAATTGAGCATACCCAGTGATAATTTATTTTTTTATTTTTTTTTACATCAAGAATCTAGAAATACTGTTCATAAAGCTAAAAGTCTACAGTGAAAATAAAAACAGAAATCACCCATTTCTATAATTATTTTAAAGTGCAATATCATAATTCCTATGGAAAAGCCAAAAGGTGGCCGATACATGCCTAGATCCTCATAAGAAACAGTTCAGGTTTAGAAATTGTCATAAACTCGGGGCCCTCCCTGGTGGTGCAGCAGCTTAAAGCACAGCACTAAGAAGCTAAAGCCACTTCCGCATGAGTTTGATTCCCGCCTGCCCCGGAGGTGACCACATGCCATGGCAGACCTCTCCTGACCCGCCTGCTGCTCCCCTCAGCAGTGTACTTCATCGATCTGACTGTTCCGCTTCCCACTCTGTCTCTGGTGAAGCTTCTCGCCGCCCCTGAGCCTCTGACCTGTACCCCAGATCTGTATGCACAAATAAATAAATCTTTATTAAAAAAAAAAGAAAGAAAGAAAGAAATTGTCATAAACTCATCTTGCTCAGAACCCCCGATACCACCTGCTATCAAGTTGGATTCCAACCAGCGCAAATGGAGGCTGCTGGCGGTGTTGTCATAATCATGTAATAATGAAGGTCATAGTATGGATAAGATCATGGATTTTAAACTATGATAGACTTAGTCTGTTAACTGTGTTACCTTGGGCAACTCTACTGCACTAAGACTTGCTTTTCCATCCTCAAAATTAGGTTAATTATATCCTTCAGAGAAGACTTCTATGAGATTTAAATGTGCTAATTCAAAAAAGTTTAATATGCATATAACACTATTGTGTCTAGCACAGGATTTGTGTCAAATCAGCAGTAGGTAGTAAGAATAACAGTCATTATTGGGGTAACCAGAGGGCCTTGAGTTCCTAGGCAATGTGCTCTATTAGCTGATACTCCACTTTCTCACCCAAAATGATGCTATTTCACTTTTGAGCTCAACAGCTTATTGCCTGGGGGATGCCAACTTGACTCCAAGTTCTGCCATGTTCCAGGTTTTCAAACTCCAGCAGAAACTCTTCACATATGCAAGAATGCATATTATGTATTCACACTTTCCTCTAGTTGTTCCTCTTTGGCCACTGCACCCAGTTCCTCTTGGTAGGAACTGGGTCCTTAGGAGCTTTGGTAATAATGAGACATTATTGCATCATAGTTTATATACATACACACACAATGTGGAAGGTAGTATATAATATATTGTTATATATATATGCAGTGTATGTTATATATAATTATGAATACCTATGTAATCATATCATATATATATATATATGCATATGACATACATAGGTTGCCCATGCATATAGGGTATAAACACATACATACATGCACATATAAGGGTTATATTTTATTATATGTTATATGTTATATGTGAGCGTATGAACACATATGTGCTACACTTATATAATCATATGTTATATAAATGGTAGACAGTGACATATTACCACCTGCTATGAACTAACACTTAGAGCTACTTCCAGGGTTAGAGACCCCAGCTTTGAAACAGTGTATCTGCCTATGGGAGGAGGACAACTGTTTCCATAAATAAACACAGAATTTGAGTTGCTGCTGAAAAAACTGTGTTGGTTGTCTCTGCAGTACCCAGACTTCCTCACTTCTCTCCATGACTTTGTGTCCTCTTTTCTCTTTCATCCATCAACTTCTATACATTTCACCCCTCAAATGTCTAGCTAATTTAGTGTTTTAAGTGATGACATAAGTGTTACCTCCACAATGTGGAATAAGATCTAAAGGAAACATAGTCAATAAATAGGCAGAAATAAAAATATGTAGTTGAAGTCTAACATACCACAGTTTCAATTCCCATTTTGCTACTTAACAACATGGGGGGATTTAGGCAACTTTCTTGACTTCTCTGTTCCTATTTCTACAATAAGACTAAGAGAAATCACCTACAAAGGAAATGTTTCATTCAATAACATTCCATTCCCTCATTTCATCAAGTCAAAGAAATAATCGCAAGGTCAAAGTTTGGAAGCATAGTAATAAGAACAGGCTACAAATAAATTATAAGTTTTGTGTTCAGTACCCTATACACCACAGTGAGCAGACACACATTACCACATCATCACCTTCCATATTCTTTGCATCGCCTCAGAACACATCTCTCTCTGCTTCCACTTTCGCTACCTCTCTTGACACTCTCCTCTTCCCTTCAACTTTACAAATGCTCATCATTTAACTCCCTATGCACTAGAATTAAATTTATCCCCCAAGCCTTCACACAAGCTGTCTGTCTTCCTTTCCCACTCACCCTCTACTTCTCTTCCCAAACTGAACTCTACCCCCATCGTACTATGCTGCAATTCCAATGTGTGTGCATGTAAGTCATTTTCATGTGTCAGGGCTGAGATAGATAGGAGAGTACGAATGGGGCACAAACCATGAGCCCTCTACTTTTCTAAGTGTTTGCACATGAACTCACTTAATCCTTTCAATCACCCAATAAGCAACATACTTTTATTCCTCTTTTACAAATGAAGAAACTAGAGCACAAAGAGGTGAAGCTTACATACTTAGCAAGCGGCAGAGTCAGGCTTCCAAACCTTTTGTAAGGGCTTTTGCAAGGCTGGTCCTGCCTCATACATGCTCAGATACTCAGCTCAGTCAGGCACTTGGCCCTTTCCTTCATGGGCTCTACCCATTAGTCAGTCTCTCCTCAAGTCCCCTGCTCTGTCTTCTATTCACCTCTCAACTGGGCTTTGTACTTGTCTGACTATTGTCTCTCTATGTGAATGACAGTGCATCCATAAGGTCTGGATTCAGCTGTGTATTCAGATTTCAGTTCTGGACCACAAAATTCTGCTGCCCAGAAACACCTGTGAAATGACTTAGCTAACAGGGAATTAGCTTTGCAAGAGGCTGATTCTGCCTATTGTCTCTGACTTCCTGACTCATCATCAGCCCCAGTTTGTAAGAGCCAGGCAGCCCATTTGCACTCAGAGGGTTTGTTTCTCTGGAGGCACATGTTTAACCACTTGAGATGGGAACCCTGTATCTCACCCATATGCTAGTTCATGCAGAGATGAGAGGGACCCTTTAAGAGCATAGAATTAACCTTCCAGAGAATGGAAAACCCACACCTAGTAGATACCTTTTGCCAATCTAAGAGAATTCAAGCAAATAGCCTAGATTTAGTAATATTGGTAAATTAAGTAATAGGAAAAATGGCCAGCCATTTCTCAGATGGGGAAAATAAAAGGCTCAAAACAATTTTGAAGGATTAAAGGATTCCTTTTATTGAATAATGAATTCTTATTCCAGGCAGGAAAGTGGATTA